ATACGCCATCGGTGAGAGAACCTGGCTACGACGCACCTGCTTTCGTGGAAGAGTTGTATTGTGGACCAGCCAGGTCGACGAACAATAGTTGCTACTATCATCAGCCAATCTACGAGGACGAGGTACCGGATTACGTCGCCCCATATCCGGTCTACGCGCCTCTCTCCGGTAAGATTAATTGCTTTTTCCCTGACTGTCCTCACCATCCATCCAATCGAGGCCTCTCCACTAAATTACAAACAACAGAAATTGTTTTGAGAAGAAAAATTAATTATCTATTTTGCTGATTAGTTGTTTGATAGATGTGGCATTTTAATAGATAGTTTATTCAGCTGTATAATCAATTATTTAATGAACAATTACTTTTGGATAAAATTAATTTCATGTGCTCAAATAGCTGCTTAATTAATTTTTAATTATTTAATGTAAACATTTCATTATTACATTCATTTCTACAAGTTTCTTTAATAACTAATTCTATTGTAAGTAAAATTTATGTATAATATATGTATATAATACATATTATATGCATAATTTATATGTATAATATTATAAGTAAAATTATTTGTAACATTTATTGTAATAAGTGATTCTATAATATTATTCGCTTTAATAAATAGTTCATTTTAAAATGTTTGATAGATAATTTAATTTCTCTGATAGATAGTTTGCTTCCAGTAATAGATTTTGTGTTAGATAGTTATCTAGTGATTATTTGAACATCTATTGTTGAACATCAAAGATCTAAATATACAATATATATAATTAAAAGATCGATGTATCACAAAGATAAACTTTATATTAAATTACTTCTATGATCTCTGATGTTTTAAATTCTTTTGTGTTTTACTTCAGAATGTGTTACATTCTACGCTTAATTCACATAATGTTTTTATATTTTCGATCAGGATATAAATTAATAATTATTCATCGTAACGAATCCATGCACAAGATGCACTCTTCTTTGATCTGAACCTTGAAAACGGAAGTTCTAGGTCCATAATAACGTCTATAATTATACTGACCCGATATACGTGATCAGAAAACCGTGATGCTGGTTTTCACTTGCTTTCACTCGGTCAATATTCATAACATTTTCCGGATATCGTGTTTATTTTTCCTAGTAGAAGATCTTCGTGAGGATGTCTCACATTTTTATTCATTAAGACTCAATCTTTTTTTCACTTATTCGATATTAAAACATAAGTCGAATCCAAGAAAAAGATTTCTATTTCATCGTTCTTTTCTTCTTTTGATTTCTCTTGACCCAATTTATATTATTGCACTCTTGTTACGCTACTCCAATTAAAACGGAAATTATCGACGATCAATCTATTAGTTTCACTTGATTAATCTATTAGTTCAAGTTCTCCTAACCTAAAATTCTACATCCATTATACGTATCAAAATTATATAATTAAAATTTCTATCGAACTTCGATACGATTATAATTACGATTATCATCGACAATTTTATCAGTTTCGCTTGATTAATCTATCGATTCAACTTCTTCTAACCTAAAATTCATGTCAGTTTAAAACACCGTAATTTCTATCGAACTTCGATAAATATTATAATTACAATCATTATAATTACAACTTTATCCATTAATTTCGCTTAAGATTAATCTCTTCCAATTCAAATTGTTCTAACCTAAAATTCTATAAAATTCGATATAAATAAATTCATCCGAAAAAAACAACACTAAAATATGAAACTTCGATATAATCGTTCATGTGTTATGATAATGCAACTTCAATGTAATTTTGAACTCGTATATATCACGTAGTAAATTTCTTTCTCGATTATTAAAAGTAAGGAACACACGTAACTCAGGTTATAATCTGGCTACAAGCCAAGGATCGCGTGATCAGAAACCACAAGTCGTGGTTGGACGCGTTTTCTTCTCGCCGATCCCTGTCTGTTAATTGATATTCCACCACGCGGTGACTCGGTTACGAGTTATTCGAAAAGGTTATGCAATTGATGCATTGCATCGGTGCGCTGCACGTGCCGCGATGCGCTTGGTCGAGGAACGCACTTCCGTTTTGGGTCCGGTTCAGAAATTCCATTAATGGTTAAGTTACGTCGTTGCCACGGAGCAAAACCGTTTCTTTCCTTTTAAGCGGATCCACGTCCGCTTCTTTTCATTCGATTATTCGATATCTTTGATATATTTAAAAAATATTATATCTCACATCGATGTATCCGTGTACCTAGATTTAATTTTTTATTAATAGCGTAAAATTAGAAATTTGTCGCGTTACAAAATCTTTTACAAAATTTTCAAATTCAGCTGTAGAATTTTATTAGCAAAAAATTACTGAAATTAAACATGTCTGAATAGAATATCGTACATTAGAAATTGAATAATTTGATTATCGGTATAAACGTTTAATTAATTAATATACGATGTGTAAAATTTATGATGGTAAAAAAGAATTTTGTTGTTAACTTATTACGTGTTAATTTATCATATTATCATTTTTTTTTTATTCTCATTTTTTGAATAAGCGTTTGTAGCTTTTTATTATTAGAGTAACTGGTTGTTACACTTGTTGGGTGTGTCTTGAAACGAGATTGGTAGAAAGGGAATTGATTATAAGTGTACACGCGGTAAAAGGGAATTGTAAATTTTTCAATTGAAAGTTTTATCGTATTAAATCTATATTCGTTCGATATTTTTCTCTGAATGAATACAATTAATGAAAAACTGAGATTGAAAATCTGTTAATAACATACATAAGATTATGAATAAAAAATTCATATCATATTTAAATATTAATATTGCTTGAAGTTATCTTATCAATTTTGAAGATATATTATCAATCGTTCTTTAGATAACAATCTTTTAATGAGAAATCATTTTTACAAATATAAAGATAATTTTTCGTGCCTTAGCAAGCTTTGTTTCAATATTTTTTTATCCTATATAAAAAAAAACTAGAGTTTTTCTTTTTTCGAATTTTTATTTATACCATAAAAAAGATTTATAAATATTTTATTTTATAAATGATTCCACAATACAAAAAATATTGATAATTATATTTTAAATTCTTTTTAAAGCCTAAAAATTAATTAATTAATTAATTAAATTTGGAAATAAACAAATTACCTAAATTACTTACACTTTTTTTCTAATCACTTTATACAACTATAATGCTTTTACACATGATTAAATAGTGGAGGGGAAAGCGACCTTGAACAGAAAATCTTTGATTCCATCTATAACCTAGAAAACTTACGCTTTCTCAATCTGTTCCCAATAAATCTTGCAACAGAAACATTAAATAATCGATACTAACAACAATTACGTTAACGAATTATACAATCAATGCAAATATGAAAGTTAATTAAAAACTAATTAATCATCCGTACAGTAATCGCTTTTTAATTACTTTATTCGTGTTATTTCAATATTACACTATCAATGTGAAACTCTGTATACTCATTATGACATTCACAATTATATCACATTACATATTTCTATATGAATTGATAATTGATTTGATTCTTATCTTATTATATAAAATAAGATATATAACATATCAAAAAAAGTGATTAAAATATCATTCTTATCGAATAATTGAATTTCCAAATCATTTCGATAAAAGTTTAAGTTTTCGATAAAATACACACGACACAGATTCATTTAATTCTAGATATTTGGCTTAATAAAAATAAAATAAAAAAAAATATTTGATCATTTTAATAATTTTGATCAACTTTTTGGCGAAATATTACAACGTCGCCATTTGTCATGCGTCGCAATAACTCGACCACGATTTCTATCATGTCCTAGAAAGTCCCTATCGCGATGGCAAATCGTGACACGCGGCGCTAGTAGTCACGAACGTCCTCGCGCAACATTGGCTTGATTATCATTTTTTAGCGGCTTTCAAACGCCTCTGCTTTCACCTGCGAATGAATAGATTCTCTCTTATAACGTCACAAATGACAATTTCATTCACGATGGAAATGAATGAGATTGAAGAAACGAGAAGATGATGATCGTCGATGAAAAAATTGCCTTTGATCCTCGATTTAATTAAAACTAAGGCGAAGATGATCAAAGAATGTTTTTTTTTTTTCTTCTTCCTCTTATTTTTCGTTAATCCTGTGTTTGATCTTAATTTTCTTCATCTTTTTCTACTTTTTTTTAATTTGGATGAAAAATTTGAATAAAAACATGATAATGAGTCATCCCTTGAAAAAGTATTAGCAATATCAAAAAAAAAAAATTCAAAGATGATATTTTAATGGAATAATATATGCACTATTTATAATATATTCATTATCGATTATTTTTTTTTTTTTTACTTATTTTATCACTTCGTGATCTCTTTTTTGAGGAACTTTTCATGCTTCGAAAAATAATAATTAAAAAAAAAATTATGTTCGAATAAAAATCCACGTGTCATCATGATTTCCATGTCCTTGTTCCGAATCCCGCGACCCTGCCACCACATATAAAAAAAAAAAAATAAAGACAAAGGCGTATGTGGGTGTCGAATCCCTCTCTTGTCAATGAATCAAAGTTAAGTCTATTAAAAGATTTATTCTCGAAGACCTCCATATAATCGGTTGTTAATCAGGTGGATTATTCGATAGAACGTCGGGAATTGAAACCTGGTCAAACATGTTTGACCATGGATGGATCTAAAGTGGAAAATAAATCTTCTCTCGTTCGAACACGTAACGAAGTGGAATTTTTCTTCCATCGTAATCGATCTTTCTTTAGATAAATAACCGGAAGATTAATGTTTTTAAGCTTTGAGAAAGTTTTTATTAAGAGAACGGTGTGTGGAGTTTTGTTGAATACTTTCTCCTCGGTTATAATTGAAAGAGATATCGTTCGTTGTTTCGAAATAATTTAGCTTGATAATTCTTAAGATGAATATCTTAATTTAATTTTTAAAATATTCGATTTCAATAGTTTCTTCCGTTTTTTTTTTTTTTTTTTTTTTTTTTTTTTTTTT